GCCCGCCCGCCGGCGGCGAAGGGGACGCTCCCTTCTCACCCTCTCAAGGGCCCCACACCGACTGACAAGGGCCAGAACTTACTTCCCCGAACTTCCTGCGCTTCCGTTCCGCCTGGAAATGACCAGGACCAGCGGCCGCGGCGTTTCCATGGAGAACCGACCGCGGACCGCGAGCTTCCGGCTCTTTCCTGTGACGTCAGGGCCCGCGCCGCAGCCGCCAGGTTGCCCTGGGCCCCGCCATCTCTGGACACCTTCCGTACAGCTTCCGGGACCCGCTGGCGCCGCTGCGACCGTCTCCAGGCAGAGCGCTTAGGCCCTGGCGGGGAATGGAGAGTGTCAGAGGCTCGAGCTCACACAAGGCAAGCACGGCTGTGGGCAGCTCTTCTCCACGACGACACGCAGCCCAAACCTGGAAGGTCTGGCCGGCGCTTTCCCGAAGGCGCCACTTCCGCCCCCCGGGGCCACGGCGGCCGGCGGGAACTTCAAACGGCTTTAGGGCGCCTCAGTCACGTTTCTGACGCGAACGCTTCCGAGGCCTGTGCGACCGTGCTGGCCCCGAGCTGGGAGAGTGCTGGAGCCGCCCAGTGTCGGGCCGTTAGGGAGCGACCTGGGTGTCCCGCCGCAGGGGAGCGGCTCCGGGGAACCCCGTCGAGGGTCTCCGACTTCCCCCACTCAGATGGGCCTCCTCGGTGGATCCACCCGACTCGCCTGTTCACACTGCCTGCCTGTTCACACTGCCTGCCTGTTCACACTGACGCTGGCTTCACCAGGACTCCACCTAGGAGAGGGCGAGGCATCTAGAAAACAGGGACGCGGGAGGTGGTTTAGGGGACACAGAAACGTGTATTTTCATTTGATACCAACTGGAATTATGTTTGCAGTCAGCAGCGGCACGTGCCTCTCTACTGCACCTGTTAGGCTAGCCTCAGTGACCCAGTGAGACCTAGTACTGGGGGGCATGTTGCTCAGCTGGTAAAGCAACCTGGGTTCACTCCCCAGTAGTAGGAAACAGGGAGGGAGAGAGAGACGCCTGGGGAGTCAGCTCGGTGTAGACGGCTTGGGGAGCATTCCTGAGGCCCCACGAAGAAAGTGGGGAGAAGGCAAAGATGGCCCGATTTCAGCAAAGAACCAAGATTTCAGTCATGCAAATATTCCGACTTCTGGTTTGGAAAAGCCCACCAAGGGTAACCAAATATGGATTACACAGATCAGAAAAATGAGCAGGACACTTGTTTCAGAAATCGCATCGAAGAGGCAAGAGTATCAAATCGGCACGTTCATTTGAGCGCATCT